TACCCTCACATTCTGTGTGGGTGCTTGGAGGCACTGAAAAAATAAGTTTACTGTTTTAGAACACGCAAGAAGAACAATATAATTCTTAGGGATCCATGGAGATGAGCATGATTGATAAGTTAATTGCATACACTGTTTGTTTATTTTAAGTACGCAGGTGACCAGAATTCTGGGACGCGGATTGAGTGGATTTGGGTTGAAGAAACGTCACAGCTGTTAAGCTGCCATCTTGTTTATTAAGAACAAAGAAAGGGGTAAAATACAAACAAAGGGGGAACGACTGAGCGATTTTAGTGTTGGGCTTGTTGCGCCACCTGGTAACGGTCCATTACACTACTAACATACACAGTGACAAACAAGCTAATATTGGCGAGAAACGCTCCCAGTACGATGATGCTTCGTGTTGATCTTGGCGTTACTTGCTTAGAACGACCCTCTGGAAGCTTCAAAAATTTGAATGAACCGAGCTGGCGATTTTCGTGGCAACGTAGACAAATTAGACAATCACCTTGCGAGGTTTTGGTGGTCTATATGTTAGTTTCTGTTTGTGCGCGGCTATCAGGTAGGGAAGGCAATGACACTTCTTTCCTAGAATCCAGGGACTTCAGTAAAAACAAAAAAAGAAAGTCGATCAGAGCGCGTAGGGATGCCGTATCGAGAGGTCAGAATAGCGTGACGCACGCGCCGGTTGCCTATACACCGTTTCACATTACAGAGTAGGGAGTCTTGGGAACCGTTTTTGCACATCCGATACGGTACAATGGGCCGTCCGGTTCGAACTTCGCATGCGAGTGTCTTCTGCGGTAGCGGATGCGCAGTTCATACTGGAGGGCCTATCGTACCATATCGGGTGTGCGAAAACGGTTCCCTAAAAGTCCCTAGTGTCAGGGAACCGTTTTCCCTAACACTATGGAGAAACGCGCATCTTCTGCGCATCTTCTACCGCAGAAGACTCGCACCTGTGTAATCCGTACCGGAGTGCCCATTGTACCTTATCGGATGTAGAAAAACGGTTCCCCCTAAAACTCTCTACTAATTGCAACCGTAGCCAACGCTACGATTGGATGGAATCAATCAAGCGGCGCTAAAAATCTATCGTCATGGCGCTTCTAGTCTTCGTGTACTTTTTCATCACCGGATAAACCAATCACGCACAATAAATACAGCTTATAATTTTGTGTTGTTACTCTTTTGCTGGTTAAGTTTCTGGTTAAGTTGGTGATATCAAACGCACAAATACGACGAGGGCCGTGACGGTACAGTCTTGGTCTTGCTTGATTGGCTCCATCGGGTCGCCCATTGACTCTCGTGGCATTAATGCAAAACGTAGCATAGAAGCACACTCAGCAGATTGGCGTAATATGTTGTCCAGAATACAATAAAACATACAATTTAAGCGAAGAAGCGCGTGCTTTATATTATACGACTTTTTTATGTGTGCTTTCCTCGAACCGTACCTTCAAAGAACTATATTTTATATATTTCATTTTTTTATGGAATCTAATGGAATATATACCGTATTTCCTGTTTTCTGGAATAATTACTTCTAATTACAAAAATAATCACTGGAGAAGGGAAACAAAAAACGACAAAGGACTAAGACAAATATCCAAAAACAGCTAAGTGACTGGTGAGCAGACGAAAAAGTCCGGTTGGTCCTGGTACTGAACCAGGTACCTCTCCATTTTAGTGGAGCGCTCTACGAACTGAGCCAACAAGGAGTTAGGCGTAGGTAGAGTGATTAGGTTTTAAGAGTTGCCACAAGTCTAACACCAAAAATGATGAACGGCCTCCATTTTAAGGTTATGATGATAATGCACTAAATGCAAAGCTGCAAGCGAGCTGGACAAGGATTCGGAGAGCAAGTCGTCTGCTTCTTGCGCAGGAGTTGAGGTGACGTCAGAACGACACCAAGCTCTGATTGGCTTTGATTGGAAGGATAGTGGGTAGACCCTGATGCTAAATGCCTTCAAATCCATCCACTGTTTTTTTTTATTATTATTATGCAATCAATACAAGTTGAGCGTTCTGACATCATCTCAACCCCTGTGCAAAAATCAGAGGAACTTACGAAGGACAAACACAAATCTCCAAACACAACCAGGTGACTGGTGCGCGGATGAAAAAGTCCGCCTGGTCCTGGGTATCGAACCAAGAACGTTGTCATTTCCAGAGCATCGCTCTACCAACTGAGCTAACCAGAAGTTAGACCCCAGTAGATCAAACGGCTGCCACAAGTCTATCATTAACAATAATGAACGGCCCGTATTTTAAGGTTATGATGATAATGCCATTAATACAAAGGTGCAAACGAGCGAGACAAGAATAGTGATAATAATCCCTGGAGAAGGGGAACAAAGGGGACAAAGGAGAAACACATGCATTTAATTTATTGAATGTATAAATATAACCTAAATATTAAAAATAACAATTAAAAGTGTGTGTGTGATAGAGAGAAAGAAAAGAAATAAAGATATGAAAAAATTCGTGTTAGAAAAGCAGCAGCGAGCTTCCGAAGTGCATCTGTGTTCAACTAATGATTTTGTTACGAGTACAATTCATGAGTATATTACTTCCAAAAATCCCCAAAGAATAATTTTAATTTCTCGAGAGATATTTAACTTCCGTCAGCTCTTTCGCATGACTTCAGAATTTCACTTAAGGATGACAGTTCGTTTCATTCTGTTGTTTCAATAGTTCAAAGCATAACACTCGTCAAAGCTCTTAATCCTTCGCGCCGCTTTGCTGAAGCATCTACATAACAATGAATAACGATAAATAATTACTGCGTCATCAATAAATCATAAGCGATGTAATTTGTTTTTTCAATTAGAAAATGAAGTTCTTTAGCTGTTCTAAGTATGCAAATTCACAGGATTGCTTTTTTTTTTTTGCTAAAGTGTTACAATCGCTTTTCAAAAATAAATATTTGGTGCAGACACGCGCCTATTTTTGCTTTTTGTAAAACAGAATATATTGCCATTTTATCACGCTTTAAGTGACAACTGTTTGTTTTCTTTTTAAGGATAGTTATGATCGTCAACATGTCTATGTCAAAAGGAAATAATAACATTGGTTTGTTCTAGCCCTTGCTTTTATATCGTATTTAGCGCATACTCTATTTAACAGCCCTGTATTTTGTGACACCGCTTGAGAATTCCACTCCTAATCCGCATAGTCGTCGACGTATATGCCGATTCCTTCGGTCAATGAGGGGAAGAGCAAATCGATAGCAAAGGAAAGGACGCTTTCTCGAAGGAGGTCACTGAACCCTTTTTTGTCAACGACCCCTACTTTATGCCGTTATCTTTAACGAACGTCTGCTTGCAGCCACCTTTATTACGAACGATCACGCCACCCCGCTTTAGGGGACGGCAGCGCACGGCCGTCAGTCTCGTTTTTTTCAAACAGCGAGATTAAAACGACTTCTCCCGTTTCGACGCATCTTCTCTTTCTCTAGCACAAAAAAACGATGTTGGGTTTCGTGTACAAATAAAATTTTAACACGCGCATTCAAAAAATTAAAATATTTCACTTATTCGTACAAGCAACACAAATCAAATAAAATTATATTTTAAACTTCCAGGAGACAGTCTATCCTCAAAATCAGTGTATACGTAATTACAACGCGAGCTAATCAAAAAGTGATGTCTTCCTCGCTTCAAAAAGGTGATTAAATGCATTAGTGGAATTTAATTTTTATTATTTTATCTTGCTGGTAATTGTTGACTTCTTCAATAGCCTGATTTTACGGTCGCCTACATATGGCTTTAAACGTAAATTTTTAAATCATACTTCAACAACAGATCCCGTTTCGTAGGTTCGTGTTACCTTGGAAATTCTGTATGTGTCCTAAAGAGCGGACACCGAAAGGCATATGTGTTAAAACTATATTTCAGAACAGCAGAGCTTGTGTCATCAGGGTTGCCATAAGCTTTCCAGCGAAGTATAACTTTCAATGGCGGTTTGAAAGGACTGGGCATCTGCATATTTCTTACGAGCTACGTGTATTATACCGCAAGCCTTGGAACCAGATTTGCTGGCTCATAACAACAGTTCAAAACACGGATTCATAGGGCGCGAACAAGAATATTAATAAGCAGTCATGATAACTATAAAAAACTGAAAATATACCATACATTGTATCGCAGAAAAAATCTAGTACTTTCGCTTCTATTTTATGACGTTGATAAAACTCATGACCATAGCAACGCAATGATCATTGCGGCCTCTAGTTGTCGCGGCACAACTGACGCTCATTCCCACATATGAACTTGCTGGAGGAAGTGTAATATCAAACCCGTGTGAGAGAAATTCTTCGATGGCTCTATGTCAGCTGTGAACCGTGAGGAACCAACTTCTTATCTATCTAACAAATTGTTCCTTAATAGATTAAGAAAGGACAGCTACCAGGTATTACTTCGAGGAATCATATCATTTTGTGCCATTACTCTTTTAGCCGGTTTGCTCTGCTGCGTGCACGACCCCTAGGAACAACGCTGAGCAATGAGTTTCACCAATAACAAACAACGTTTAATTGAAGACAAAGTTAAACAGGCGAGTCGGCTGGCTTGACCTTGACAGTGATTTTTTTAGAGTGGTCTGGATGCGTACCATCAGTTGTGGTAAGAAGGGCGCGGCGCGGTCACATAAACGTGTGAAAAGTCATTGAAGGATATGTGAAAGAGTCAGAAAGAGTCAGAAACTTTTTTCTGTTCCGTTTGAGACGTGTTTGTTTGTCTATTTGTTGTCGTCTGTTCGTCTCCGGTTTCAATTATGTGTGTTTAAGTGGATGCGAACAAACACTAACAACCTGACCTTGCGGCTTGGCTCTATGCCACCTGCAGTGTCATTCCCAGCCGGCTAGGAACATGAGAGCCGCCAGGACGCCCGCGCTCGTAAACGCTCCATAGATTTTCCCCTTTTCATTATAGGAACGCGGCGCCTGATGGGATTCATTGCAACGGTGAGGGAGCTTTGACCGGTCTTCCGTTCCGTGGATGTCTGCAGCAAGCGTGGTGGCCCGGGATACCGCAGCAGGTCCTGCGGAGGAGCGTCCAGATGGGCACCGAGACACGCAGCCTTCCATTCCAGAGGACAAGTCGAATCTCTCGGCTAAGTTGCACTCGGCACGCTGTGACGTCATCTTCCTGCAGACTCAGCACCGGCTTACACTCAAGGGGTTGCACGCGGAAATCGCCAAACTGCAGCAGACAGTCAAGGGTAAGGCTTGAAGTAGGTTTCATAGTGACACAGCTTATCCTTTCTTTGGCCACATATACAGCTCTACAGGACCCAAGCGGAAAAGGCTGAGTCACTAGGTTGTAGATAATTTCTCAGCGTCTGATATTTGAAACGAAGGAAAGGGCCTTAAAGCGATAAACTGGCAGCTGAAAGTAACCCCCCAATGGCGGCCGTCATGTTGCACACTTTTGACCACTAGGCATGTGACTTTATAGTTTTACGTCTAGATTTTTTTTCTTTATTTGTTTTGCGGAGTTGTTTCCGCAGAGGGGGCAGAGATAAAGGCACAATGCCTGACATAGCCTCTGCCCCCCCCCCCCAATCGTACAGTTCAACATGGAGCAACAAAATTTACAATCAAACAAACAAAAAAAAACCGCTGTAACGAGATAAAACATCGCTTTGCACAGATAACATAATTGATGATATCATTAATAAACACGAAATGAAGCGTTCACAAAGACAGGTTAAACAATTCTTTGAAGATAAAAACAAAAACATCTGCACACTCTGCAGAAGAGCAAATAACACAATATTCAAAAGGTCAAACAGATACTGCAATGCAAATTTGAACTACAGAAAAAAAGTGCGCAACGTTACACCCAGAAAAAAAAAGAAACAAATTATACCAAAGAACATGCTACGTCACTTGCCACTAGAATTTTTCTGCAAAGATGTTGAAACTACCAAATGGCTGGTCAAAGTTTATGTTGATATATGTTCTATTAAGCATTTTAGTGATCTGAAAATGTGAGGCTTGTCGACCAAAGTTTGTTCTCACGTATGGTGTTTTTCGAATTGGATTTCGTAAAAAGTATGGATTAGAACTGGTAATGGGCGTCGAGTGGAGTTTATTTCTATGTATCAATTGCAACAGTCTGAAATAATAAATTTGATTTGCCTTAAGAATATTATACTTAATAAAGAGTGGCAGCGTTCTTAAAATCCTTATGTCGTCTCTATAATTTTCACCTATCCATAGTATCTTTTTTTTGTAAAATGACTAGCTTATTGTAGTTTGTAGCTGTTGTTGTACCCCACACTATGATGCCGTAACTGATCCTAGAATAAAATAAGGAGTAATATAACGTTAGTTTAAGCCAGGCAGGAATTAGATTTTGAATTTTATAAATCATGCCTGTAACTCGGGACAAGTCGGCTTTTAGTTTGCTGACGTGCGTATTCCAAGAAAGGTCCTCAGTGAACCAAACACCTAAAAAATTTTGTTCAACCACCTGCTCAAGTACCGTGCCTTCAAATTTGATGTTTATAATGCTGTCATCTTGGTTGCCGGTTGGCTTAAAAATCAGATACTTAGTTTTATTGGTATTGAGGCTTAAGCTATTTTTGTAACCATTTGGATAGTATTGTAAGATATTCATTGGCTAATTTTTCTACACTCTTTTTTGTTAAACCTGGAAAAAACACATTTGTGTCATCTGCATACATTGTCATCTCGGGGCAGCCTGGAATATCCGTTATATAGTTTATATACACTAGAAATAGCGTCGGCCCCAAAATAGAGCCCTGAGGAACCCCAGAACGTATTTTAATTTTACTAGATATCATATCATTTACGCACAGGTATTGGTACCGATTTGTGAGATATGTTTTAATTAATTTTAACGCCACTCCGCGTACTCCGTACATTTTAAGTTTTTTAAGTAAGATACCGTGTTGTACGGTGTCGAAAGCTTTCTTTAGGTCTAGAAATAAACCTAGAGTGACAAGTTTTCTCGCAATATTCTCAACTATTTTATCTTTTATTTCAATCAGGGCTGATTCGGCAGACTTACTTTTCTGAAATCCATGCTGGAACTTAAAAATAATTTGAAATTTTTGAAAAAAATTATTTAGCCTCTCATTGATAACACGTTCAAATATCTTTGAAAATACAGAAAGAACAGATATCGGCCTGTAATTATTAACTTCAGTTTCTCCTCCGCCCTTATACACAGGGATTACTTTTGCAACTTTTAGCTCATCAGGGAACTCACCAGTCTCTAGCATCTTGTTTATTATATTCGATAATACTGGACTGATTATGCAAGCGGTGCATCTAATTGGTAAGGCTTTAATTCCATCCTCACCTGCAGCCACATTGTTATCTAAATTATTAATTATTTTGTAAATTTCTTCATAAGTCGTTGGAGCAAGCATAATCGAATTTTGTTGATTTTTTTATCTTGCACAGTCATCATTAGTTGTATTTTTAGCCGATTTGATAAAATGCGAATTCATTGCGTCTGCGAGCTCTTTCCCTGCCACACTTACATTATCGATTATCAGTTCCGTGACACTACAGCGTTTTTGCTTTTTGTTTGTTAGATCGTTTACTGTATTCCAAACTTTTCGACGGTCATTGTGAATATGCTGAAATTTATTTTGATAATACTCACATTTTGCTTGCTTTAAGTCAGAGTTCAACTTGTTTCTAAATTTTTTTAACTCAGACAGTAAACTTAGATTGCGATGATGTACGAAGGCATGGTACTTGCGGTCTTTTATTTTTATTCTTTTATATAAATCATTTATTATCCATGGTTTTCTAATCTTTTTAGGCTTTGTTTTAGTTTCACATAGAGGAAATGCTATATAATAACAGCGTTCGAATTTAGACAGGAAGTAATTATAGGATTTTGTCGGATCATGTTCATTATAAACGTCTTCCCAGCTTTCTTGATATATTAAGTAACCAACATTTCTTAGCGTTTCTTCGTTTATTTTGCGGTGATAACGTTTTTCTTTATTTAGATTACTTTTCGCGGTTGAGAGAGTTGCAATGCAAAAGATAGGCAAATGGTCGCTTATGTCGTGCAAGATAACGCCAGCTGAGATCTGGTTACATTCTATGTTTGTTAGACAAGCGTCAAATGATGTCGCAGTGGCTGAGGTAACCCTAGTAAGCAACGTTATGGCGTTATTACAGGCGTATTGTTGAATAAGATCTCTGAATTCTCTCGCATATCCGTCATCCAAAGCAGAGTCTATATTCATATCACCAAGAATCATAAATGGTAGGTTAGGCCCCAGAGCACAAAATAAGTTTTCAATGAATGACATAAATGCAAGCACGTTGCCGTTTGGCGGCCTATACAAAGCTGCGACTACAGAATGTGGGAACTTGACAATCAAACATTCTACATCATCATTTATTGTTGTTAAATCTTCTATAATCTAATATTGTAGGTTATCTTTTACCTAAATGGCTATACCGCCCCCCCCCCCCTTTTTTTTGTTAACTCTGCACACATTTTCACATCTATAACCACGCAGAAGTGGTGGCAAATCTTCGTTTTTTAACCAAGTTTCTGTGAGTGCGATTGCATCGAATTCTATATTTAAAGAGTGTAAAAGAATTTCAAGATTGTCAACCTTATGTTTTACACTTTTTGTATTTAAATGTATTGCCGAAAACTGCCTATCGTTTCTTTTGTATTTTTGTTAAATGACAGGCAGTCGTAATAATAACAGTCGGTGAGAGCTTCTTCGGTCATCATCGCTACGATTGTCCAGAAGGGCTGTCACTGTGATTAGTTTGCTATCTTTTCAGCATCCGACAGGCAAGCGATCCTGATCGCGTTCTCATTCTCGGTTTTTCTGGCAAAGACCTTGCCCCCAGATGACCACCTGAACATCCATCCTACGCCCTTTTTCTTTGAGATGGCAGCACCAAGTAGTCTTTTGTTTAAGCCAGTTAGGTGTTCGTTGGGGTAAACGGGGTGATTGCTCCCCCCGTAGTCAAGGTCTTTGGTCGTGAATCGGTGCTTTTTGCTTTTCTGTAGTATCTTATCTCATTTTGAGCACTGCACGAATCAGACAATTATATTCTTATCCGATGTTTTGAAAGACGGGACTCTGTGACACACGTCAATATCTGAATCTCTGGTCGGCTCGTCTCGAATAGTTCCAATACGTTTTACAATGTCGTACGGGTCACCTTCATCCGGGACGCCTTTAATTTCAAGATTGTTTGATCGCTGGCGCCTGCTCGAGCTGCTCGATCTTCTCGCTCAGCCTTCGGTTCTCGGAGGACAATTCTTCATTTTGTTTAGTCAGCTTTTGCATTTCCTTCCGAATTTCGTGCATCTCTTTTTTAATTTAATTCACACTATCTTATGTGTCACTGCAGTTTTTGACACTATCCTTGATATTTCGATGGTCAACTCTGATTTCACGTCTTAAGTCATCAACAGCCTTCGCGATTTCTTCACCGGTTTCTTTGTTCATATCTCAGACTAGGAAGGCGAAGTTACGCAGATTACACAGCAGAAATTTGACACTTTAAGAAGATCAATCACAAAAACAAACAAAAAAGAATAACAATGTGCTGTGTTCGGCATCAGTGCGCAAAACAGGTATATGTATATTCTCTTTTAGACAAAAAAGTAATTCTCACGTGCAATAACAGACGGTTAGTGTATGCACTGCTTGCGCGCAACTTCCGAACTGAAGACCAGGCCGGTAGACTGGCTTCCTTTTACAAAGAAATCCGCCGTACCGCGCACAGTTAATTTCTTATTGATCGTTAATAACAGTACTCACGAGATAAGTTATGTTTTCTGTCGTTCAACTCCAAAACGTGCTTTTAGACAAGAACTACGGCAGCTTCGCAATGCCTCTGCTCGATGCCGTCAGGCGCGGTGCTCTATTTTGGGTTTTTAGCGGAGCGAGACACTAATCTTTGCGGCTAACAGTATTGAAACAAAATAGTTTATCATGTTTTTTTACAGCGATCGCAACACAAATCTCGCCTTCGTTTTGCGTAAAAGCCTCAGGATTAGGTACGGTCACGTGTATAGTGGTCAAAAATGTACGACATGGCGGCAGCCAAGTGGGGGTCACTTTAGCCGGGTGAACGGGATACCAGTTTATCGCTCTAAGCACCTCTACCTCGTTGGATATTCTGCTATAGAGTGCTACTGTGCATTTTCAGAACCCGTTTTACGGTCCTGTAGCCAACGATTTAAGCGAACAAAAGGCGATTTTTGGAATAGTATCTACGTTTAAAAATCGGCCAGGATACGCCGATTGTACAATCATAAAGCCTCATTTTGTAATTTTTTTGTTTTTGAGTCATAATTTTACCAAATATCCACTTTAACTTACTTCGTGAATTTACATAATTCAGGCGACATTCAAGTCTTTAATATACGCTTCAAATTGTTCCTCCGCTTTAGCCAATCGAAACAGTTTAAGACGTGGCGTAAAAAGACTGAACTGCTCATGACCAAACAAATTTTAATTTATTTAATTAATATTTTACATCCCAGCATATTGCCTATGTTCATTTTGAATGCAATAACTTTTCTGGAAATAGACTGCTGCTTCAATGCAAGCCCAAAGAAATCCGCTTTGTTTTCATACGCAAAACAAATTTATTTAGTGCGCGACTTGCTCAACTGTTTTGAGATCGCTTAACGGTAGCCCAAAAAAAAAAATCCAGTAAATGACAGGTCCACAGAAGACGCCTGTCTGTCATATGTGTGTCTATCTCTAGACTGGCCTCTGTTCGCTGCTTTGAGTCTGTGCCGTTTTTAAATGGTCCAATTTACGACCTCACAACACAGACGACTAATATCACCAAAATACCTAGCTTGACAGGAATACTACGTTATCAAAATGATTGAAACAAACACGCAACCTTAAAACGGAATTGTAGAACGTTCTTCCTGTAGCTTACTAGATTGAAAACAAAAAATAAAAAAATCTTTCCCGAAGAATATTCAGTTGAAATGCTCTTGCGTTCATCTGTATATCATTCAAGACAAAAACTTTTCTCACTTCAATTTATTGTGTGCTATGACAAGCCGCGTTTACTTTTTTCTGTTACTGACGGTAGCGGTATAAAACACTCTTACATAATTAGTTACACACGAAACTTGTCGACAGAAAGAACAGATCACAATTTTGATTAAAAAACTTGATTCCGCTTTATAATTTTAGAAATAACTGAGCCACTTAGACCAATCTAGAAATTGAACTCCAACATTCAGCCAGTTTCCGGCATCAAAATGTTCAAGTGTTAAGTTGGCCCCAAGAACGTGTTTTCAATGGTCACTCTTGCCCTCATCAGCAGCCCTAGGATAGCTAGTGTTTTCTTGTATGTCCTATCTTGACAATCTATTTATTTTTCTTCTTCCAGGCATGCAGTTTGCACTTTTCAATAACGGGATTACACTGGTGGATGAAGGTGAGTGCGCGCAAAGCACTTGGTATGACGTTTCCAGGCGTTAGAACACATCAAGATTAAAGTTCAATTAGATTATGGCAGAATACTCTCAGATTTTATTTTGAGTAGCAGACTGATACTTATAAGCAAAACCCATATATTTTTATATTATTTTTCGTTTTTCGAAATTACCAACAGAATTTTTCGTGAATTGGGGAGGTCCACACGACTTACTTTTCATTAGTTCTTTTAGGCATTTTTATTTCTCCATTTAGTTCACTTTAATGCAATGGAAATATTATCAGTTAATAACGTTAAAATGAACATTGTATATAATTTTATTACAACCAAACTAAATTGTACTTTTACTATAATGAGTATATGATGAATAAACTTTGTGTATCTGCCCACTAGTCAGATTAACGCAGCTTTGTCTACAAAAGCTATGAAGCAGTGTTGCGGAATGGTCACCCCCATTTCATTCCCATTCTCTTCTGGGGAATTAGAGTTTTCCATATTTCAATTCCTTTCAGCTCTTAGGATTGGGGACACTGGGCCCCATCCTACTCCTGGAATGGCTGAATCGTTCCACTACATTCCTCTAATTCCTAAACGTAAAAATTGCACTTGACAGCTTCACTGTGTTGCCGGCATAAGCAGCATAAAGCTGGCATCATCAAACGCGTTCACAATTGCAAAAAAAAAAAAAAGAATTCTAAATGCCTAAAAAAAAGCATTGATTTTACTAAGCGGAGCGCTGGTGGCACAAAGTGTGTCTTTACATTGTACTGCAAACATCGCGAAAGGCCCTTGATATGACGATACTCTCGCGGCCACGTGGCTCGCAGCAAGCAGCCGAAACTTAAATTCACTCATTTTCCTTTTATTTTTGCAAACTTTTTTGCGTTCAACTTTTATGACATACACGGCCAGCGTGTTTGTTTGATAAGACCATAAAAATATCCAGTTAGTTCTTGGCGCACGAATAAGCTATATTACTGTATTCTCCAAATACCAGCACAGCAACACGGCTAGTACGCTGCTGGAAGCGACTCCATGCACAGCGGCAAGAACACATCCTCTGCCAAAGTGCAACCTCTACGGCCCAGTACGAGGGACCGCATAGACCGTATAAATAGACCATGTCACGAAACTTGCTTTAAAACGCATAAGTTCACGCTTGTTTTACGAATCTAGATACTTCTTATCATATTCAATTCAATTCTTTATGTGTTTTCCAGGCGATCAATAGAACGTTTGCTGGGCTCAAATATACGTTTGTTCATTGTGGTTCGTTCATTATACGGACGTTATCGGTTTATTACCTGTTATTTGTTGATCGTCTTGCTCATTATTCGGACATGGGCCAATACATATTTCCGCATGAACCGCCGAGGTATTTACTTGCAAGGTCATTCATGATGCACTCCGCGAGCTCTCAGTTGCCGGCGTTTCGCGGTGACTAAAGTATCTGGTTTTAACGCGAATGAGGTTGTATGTACCGGGTGATGCCGTAAGGGCCAACAGATTTGGTAAGCCTTGCAAACTTAGAATTCCAATCGAACATACGTCAAACTGGCCACGCAACGCAGTTTCCCAAAATGCTTGATGTCTTTTTTTTTTTTTTTGCGAGTGCAATTCAGAGGTGGTGAAATATTAAAAATAGTGCAAAAACGGCGGTCTCAGTAGCAGCTACCACCCACCTCTCCTCCTCAGTGGCCCTCACTGCAACGATCACGCCTCGTCTAGCGCGGGACTGTCTTTCTGCTGGTCCAGTCAGTTCGTTCACGCGACAAGAGCGGTGATTATAGTCTACTTCACATTACGATGGACCGCAAAAGACAGCGCTAGAGCCATGGAAACCAATCCAGTGCCGTCTGAGTGACGCGTGACCCTGGGGTACAGCAACGTGCCGAGCGTGTAGTCCCGCTCACGGTGCTGGATTGCCTGGGGTGACTCGTAGCGTCCGCAGCGGCTCATCGCAAGGCGAAGCAAAGTATGCAGAGACTAAAATCAAGTAATATGAGCGGGAATCCGCTAACTTGCTTGTGACCCTAACTCGCTTGAATGTAAAACATAAAACAAAAAAAAAACAAGCATCGGAACAAAGACCAAGTAAAAGGCGGACTTACACGTAAAATTGCAGTGTAAAAAAAAACAAAAAAAACATCGGAGCGAAGCGCAAGAGGAGAAGAGAGAAGTGAATCTCGCTTTGTTTTAATACCGAAGCAAACCCACATTTCGCACCTCAAAAGTGCGCGCGCGAATGAACGTGGAAAACAGCAGGGTTGGCCGCCTGCTAAACAACACCTCCTCGAGCATTAAAAAAAAAAAAAAAAAAAAAAGGCAATGACTGATCATCTTTCGGTGGCGTGTGAGTCAACGAGTTATCAGAGTTCAGCGAGTTATGAGTCGCACCCGCTCCCAGATCTCAGCCTTTGCGCGCGTGCATTCTCCATGCTGTCGCAAAAAAAAAAAAAAAAAAAAAATCAAGAAAAGGACAACGATGAGGAGCCGGGCATGACAGTTTCTTTCTTCGCAACTCTTTCCGTTTCTTTTGCTTGGTGTTTGCTTTCTTGTTTCGCTCATATAACGCCAGCGAAGTCCGTCGCCCGCGCATCCGTGTGCCAACCACCAAGTGGCCGTGCAACCACCACCGCCACCCCCCCCCCCCCCCCCCCCCTTTGACACTTGTTCTTTGTATTGCATTTGTTTTTGCGTATAGGCGTGTAAAGGCTCCACGCGGGTTAGCGGTCTCCCGCTCATTTTACTTCTGAGCAACTGACTCGCTGACTGGCTCAGTATAGCTGACCATATACCCATAAAAAAAAGCGGGCCCATTTTATTTTAATTTTATTCCGGGCAAAAGGCATCTAATTCTATTCCTATTCTATTCTCCTCAATGTTGCCACCATCTCATTTCTCTTCAATCCCTGGGTCGCGAAAATGCGGAAGCGTTCCGGAATCATTCCAACTCCGGAGTGTATACTTCATACTGCAACACTGCAGTATGAAGTATACACTTTTTCAGTGACGAACACGTGCAATTCGCGATTTCATCCTGGGTTGAGAGATTGGATAAAATTTTATTCAAATACATTTATTTATTTTCCTTATTATTAATGATTAAAATAAAGTAAGTCATAATAAAACTAATATGTAACCTGCTTTCTTGGTTTTCAGAGTTGATAGCGTGTTATTTTTCCTATTATTCGTGAGCAAAATAAGATGCATCTTTCGGTGACTTGTCTCGGTACTAGCAGACAGAAAGGTTCCTTACCAACATGCGATATGTTTATCTCTCAGATTCGTACAAGGCGCGCATCGAAGAGTTGGAGGAGAACCTGGACAAGTGGTGCTGTCACTGCCGCTACCTCACTTCCCAGCTGGAACACGCCAACAAGGCTCTCGTTGCGCTTAATCAGCGAATACAAGTTCAGGTGAGATGGTCAGCCAAAGACACAAAAAATTCAATGCGGCTGTCGAAAATGTACACCTTTTTCTCGCAACATTACTGGCTTGATGGATGGATGGATGGATGAATAAACGAATGGATGGATGGATGAATGGACGGATGGATGGACGGATCAACGAGGTAGAGGGGCTTAGAGCGATAAACCGGGGTTCCGGTCTGCACTCGAAAGTGACCCCCATAAGGCGGCTGCCATTGTACGCAAATTTGACCACTCGTCACATGACCAAACCAAATACGTGACGTCACAGAAAAGATGGCAGCGCCCATGCAGCGGCTGGTCCCAGCTGGGCCGGAGCTTGTCGGATGCTTTGTTGGTTGTCGTTCGTCTCGGCGAGTTGATTTCAGACGCGGAAGCCGTCATATGAGGCCGGTCGAAAGCGACTCCAGAGTTCAGCGTGGTGTCTGACGTAGGTATAACGTGAAAATACGGAGGAACGGTATGCATTTCGCTGGTGACCGACGGGGATGTTGCCACGAAAGAGACAATCGGCCCTACGTTGCTCGGACCTCGGATTCATTCAGACACCGCTAGGATAAATTTTAAGGCAACGTTTCTGTGCTGGCGTTGACCATCGGAATCTTCGAGGTTTGCAGTGAAGCGTGTGCAATATATTTGGATACACAGTTTAGCGACGGAAATTGCGTGAGTTGTGCTTGGCGGTGTGCAATCGTGGTGCAGCTTCGGTCAAATGACCGAGGGCTCACTTTGGTTGTACGGCGCACCGGAAAGCTGTCTTGAAGCTGGTAGTTCCCGTGCCATGCTAAATGATGCTGTGCTGCTTCCCAAATTGTTCCGGCGTAGACGTGTACTTTCACGGAGCACAGGTGTTGCTGTTGGTATTGATTCTGCTGGTCTGTCGCGCGTTTCGTCGACACCAAAGTTTCATAAACACTCGTTACGCGAATTGCAAGCTGTATGGACATTTCATCGCGCGTGTTACCTACCCAGTTCACCCGTTCACGCCGCTTTGCGACGACAGTCTGCAGCGGCTCATTACCAGAAACGTTGTCCCACATCCATTTCAGGTCAGCTCGTCCTCGGCAGTCGCCTAACCCCGAAGGAGAGTATTTATTCGGACAGAATGTCTCTGAAGCAATGGAGCTTCTTTAGTGGTCATGCTAGACTCTCTTCTGTCTGTTGTTATATTATTACCGATGCTTGCCCCAGTCCTATCTCCTATCAATATTTATTATTCTAGAAAGTTCCAGGCATGCTCAGCTGTCATTGTATGTATTGTATAGCCCTTCACTCTGTGTGGACCCTGGCGGCTCCTAAGCCGAGTTGCCCGATAACAAGACACGGGTGGCACATTATCCCGCGTCTTAAACCCCCGGCGAGCCGGGAACCAAGTCCTATCCCGAGCCCGGCAGAAAAACCGCAAGACGAGCAAGTACCACAAGGACGAACCTCGGAAATACACCACGAAGAACCTGAAATCCAAGCCAGTCGCTGCTACCAGTAAGAACAATTGGAATTAGGTCTTTTGCCAGAAAAACCGAAACTGACTAAGCCAACAATGACAAACCTGTAGCAGCAAACCGCGTCCGCTCCCACCATCGTTTGCATGGCTGTCGCACCTCGTACTGTGATGCCCTTTCACGCAAGGTTCATAAGACGTCGGGGGCTGGATTGAACAATATGACCATATGACCATGTCACATGCCACAGTGGGTAGATGGACAACCAGCTCCTGCAGAAGCTATACTTCTCGTGGAAGAAACTGCCAGGCACTGGTTTGAGAACCAGGAATCCTCCTTAACGTTGTGGGAAGTTTGCAAGACCGAGCTGAAGTGCAAGTTCATCAGCCAACATTGACGAGAAAGAGCCGAATTCCTGATTCTGTCCAGGACACGGCCCCAGCAAGAGCGTCACCACCTTTGTGGAGGATGTTTTGCGCCAGATCGAGCATCCACGTTAACCCTGATGCTACAGAAGACAAGAAGCTAAGAACCTCATATCCTTCATGTGAGGGACAACACCTTCGGCAGCCTTGTCCGCAACCCCACGACAGCAGTCGAAGGGTTCATATCACCGAGGCTTCCAACATTGAATGTACACTGCAGGCCCGAGCCTGTCAATATCAACAACTCCTTAGCGTCTCGACACTCGAGTCGTCCAGCTGCAACTTCGACGCCAGCCCCCCAGGCATCCGCGACATCATCCACAACAGTGTCCGGGAGGAGATAAGGAAGCTAGTTCCTGCCATCTGTTGCCCGGCTTTTATTTTGATTGCCGAGATTGTTTCGGAAGAAGTTCGACAGGCATTTCAACTGGAGACTTCTTCGAGCAAAGCGGCATCTGACGAACCGAGGGCAACTTATGCCACAATGTCACAACGACCACCACCGGCTACCTGTTACTATTCAATGCCAATTCAACGAGACACCCCAACTTCGAAGCATTCCCGACATCGGGAAGAACCAGTGTAGGTCCGCGCTGAACAAATTACACCGAGGGAAACGGAGGTGCTGCGAATTGCCGACCGAAAACCACTCTGCTATCATTGCATGAGGCCGACCATGTCTACTGGCGGTGCCCGTACAAAGGATTTGGCCTGCAAGGGTTCGTGCCGAACGACCCTTGACTACGTCTCGACGAGCGTCCGCGAAAGATTGAGGATTATCTTCGGCGGTCTTTGTCCCTGGTGCCGACATTACCCCGAAGCTCGTGATCCACTTCATCTGAACGGGAGGTAAGCACGACAAAGCAGGTGAGCGGCAATGCAAGGACAGTTGATCTGTTGTCGGTTGTCATCCAAGCACAATACCTAATAATTAGCTGACACTAATTATCTGTGTCCACGCCACGAAGCACACAATTTCCAACTTTGAGGGAGAATGCCGCTGAGTGACTTGAAGAAATAGAATGGTTGGTGGCTCCCAAAAGTGGACTGCAAGCATCACCAGACTTCACTTTGCCACACGAGACTCAAGTTGCAGTGGTCGCGGGATGCAGAATAAATCGCCATTACGAAATGAAAGTGAAATGGCTTGGATAGCAAACAAACATTGTCGCCAGCTATCAAGTCAACGGTACAGCAAAAGGCACAGCCACGTAACCAATACATGCCCGAACTTGCTGCATTAATGCAGAAAACTACAAGGAAAATTTCCTGATTAGAAGCCAGCCCTGCAGCTTCAGTGCATCAGATGTCAGTGGCCGCACATGACGTATGATTACAAGACGGCATCAGTCGGTCAAAGTTGCTACTCGACCAAACTGTACACCGACGTGCCAGGAGCGTCATCCGTCAACAAGGTCCACAGGTACTGCGACTGAACGCCTGACAGAAGACTGTCGCAGAAAGAACTTGTTATGGAACCATTTACTAAGAATCAATAATTATGTAATCAAGTGGAAATAAACATATTTGATACAGTAACCACATGAACATATTTCCGCTTGCCTTTACGCCTTGAAAGTCTATACACCAAGAATTGTGTTCACTGCACTCGCAGGTCCTTTTGAGGACACTCGCATCTCTGACTTTTCAATATTAATTAATGGGACATACCAGACTGGCAGACTTGTTGCATGGGGCTGCACTCTTTCCACCTCTCCTGAACACCTGGTGCATCCGAAAACCAACTCCAGTGGTGTGAAAATGTTATTTATTAATGTATTCCCTCCAGGGGCCTTCGTAGGCATTCCAGAGAGGATACTCAAAACTACACATATGATAATAACATTAAAGCACACTGCTGTAACTTGTTAATTGCAAAAACAAACACACCTCTGAGCATATACTTTTATAGTATGTGTTGATGCATAGTTATATAGCAGGACACTCCCTATACGTATGACACAATAGACCCTTTGCAGAACCCCCTCAAGCAACACAACTGTCACCATTTTTTTTCCGCGTAAAGCACACGACTGGGCCCCAGTTCACGTCGAATGCTAATGCAGCATTACGAGTCCAATAGGCGCCGAGCCAAGTTCACAGTGATGGCGGACATAACATTCTTGCCGAACAAATGCCCAAAGTATGAGAAACTGGGGTAATTAGAGTAGTAGCTACTGTAATTCGTTTCATCACAATTTGGCAAACGGCAAAGGCTACAGTCTCGGCGAGTCAATAGGCACATTGGAGAGAGGCACATGACAACGTATCATCAGAGTGCTCGTCTGCACAAATTTGTCACACACCTTCGCTCCGTCTCTCTGATTGGCTCGAGGGAGCTGTGGCGGTTGCCCTTTTCCAAGTTACAATGATACGAAGTATAGGCAGCCCACACTTTCCAAAAAGTTGATTGAAGAGTCCGAGAGGAACGGTCAACATTTTTCAACGACTGCTCTTCAGGCAAGGGATGAACACAATTGTGAATCATCTTATCCAGGTAATTTGAACAAGTAAATAATTGACCGACTAATGCAATACACTCTTAATGAAAAAGGTATTGCTGCAATAAATCCTACGAAGGAAAAAAAGGTGCAGTTAATCTATGCATACACCGAAACAGTTGTTCTTATAGCAAGAAGAATACCTTTGAAGCAGGTGCCTGCAAGGATTTATTCACCCCCACACTCAATAAAACGTCATCCTCGTAGCTGAAAATAAGTGTGCACTTCGCACTCACAGAAAAAGGAAGAAAACCGATCGAATGTAGAATCGTCGATTAGCACAAAAAGTTAAAGATCGCAGGAACTTCCTCGCTAAACGTTGCTATGGTTATTCGGTGACGCAGGTCTGAAACAACTTCACTTAGGCCCTAACGCGACGTATACCTTTCGCTTCGATTCTCAGACATTCCAACGTTCAAACAAAGCTAGAAAAATGCGAATATTTTATGCCTGGAGTTATATCGTAAAATTGTTGATAAGTGCTAAACGCAAAGATCGCAGGAGCTTCCTCACTAAAAGTTGCTGTGATAATGCAGTTACCTATGGCTGAAACTAATTCCCCTAGGCCTTACATCGGACGCATACATTTTGTGTCGATTCTCCGACATTACAACGTTCAAACAAAGCTAAGAGAATGCGAAATTTTATGCTAAAAGCAATCAAAGTTCTATCGATCCTCGAACAGATCCCGAATCCGAGCACCGGTACGGCGATACGGCTGATGCTGCCTCACCGGTGTAAATAGCCAGATGATCCAGTGCGATCTTGCGCAAAAAGGGTATAAAGTCTCATTCCTTCATATTTTCACATTATACCTGCGTCAGCGAACACGAAAAAGCCCGAAGTCGTCGGAAAGCAGCTGCACATCACGGCTACCGCGCACCGAACAAACTCGCATCCGCCAGCTCTGGGTGCTGCCATCTTACCTGTGACGTCACGGCTCTTGGGAGGTCACGTGACGAGTGGTCACATTTGCGTAAAACATGGCGGCAACCGGGGGGTGTCACTTCCGAACTTCCGGTTTATCACTCTAAGCCCCTCTACCTCGTTGGGACGGATGGATGAATGAATGGATGTATGGATCATTACGGCTGAAACCCTTAAATAGGGCGGCGGCTTCCGCCTCCTAGTCGGCGTTTATAATAAAAACAAATATTAACCAATAACATGACACGTAATATTTTATAGTGATAAATTTATCGTGTACAACACTTCCGAATTTATTGCAGGTTCGGCATGCGGCACCAATAAAGCGGAACAGATGCAAAGCGATCCACTATTTTGGGACCTGATACAATTTGTAGAGCTATTCTTGCTAGCATTAAATCGATCCACACTATAAAATCACCATATGGACATGTGACTCCCGGAGTCCGTATCGTATTCGTTCTAGAAGGGTGAATATATGCTCTCACTATTCCAGCGTATTCCAGGTGCCACGATAACAAACATATTGACAAATACATCTCGGGAATGTCAGTGAAGACATAAGATATCTTAACGCTCACTCGCATTTGATATGTTCATGCATCCAACAATCGTAAATGTTTTGCCACAATATAGAGGGAATGTCTTCTCTTTTCGAATTTCGTCAATCCTGCAGACAGTTGGCTTCGATATCAGACCGTCTCGATGAAGATAACAAAAAATTAAGTTTATTTGTTTGGGTTTTTTTCGCTTTGAAAGCAGATCGGCAGGAACAGAGAAGCCGTCCACATGACTTAGTCAACTTTGTCGCTTTCGTGCTTAGATGATTAGACACATACACGCGACCACTCAGACTAACATTTTTTATTACATACCTCCTTTTTGTTTTTGTGATGTAACATCCATGAGCAGACGTTTCCTATTCATTCTAACTTTTTAATACAGACGCAAAACACATAGCACGATTATTTACAGGGCCGGAAATCTCAAGTAAGAGCACGGTTACAGGGTGACGTGACATAGGCGGTGAATCAATACGACTTCATTCTAGTATAAGTATTTTGCTTTTTGGTCTCTCTCTGGTAAGTAAGCAGCCGATGCTTTAGGTGATGACTCTTTTTGCTATCACGTTCTTTCCACTCAATTCACTACCCTCATCGGGTATATTTGTGCGCGATAGAAACTCGCTTATTATACGACAGTCTTAGCATTTAAAGATATTTTCATTGCAGCTGTTCAAACAAGGTTTTGAAACTCACAGCTTGCATAAGTTATCTCACTATTTGGTGTGCAGTTTTCTACCAGGCAGTTATCATTTCTTGGGAAGACGATAACAAGATACAAAAGTAACGCGGGAAAACTGGCAAGCTTGAAATGAAACAGTTCTTTCATTATATCATTTGGCCGCACTCCCAGGATTGGCAACACCAGGCGGAGCTGAAAGAGAAGAACTCGGTCATCGCCAACTTGCAAAGGGAGCTAGAGTGGAAGTGCAGGACGCTCGCGGAGATGGAGATGTCGTCCAGGCGCCGAAGTTTGGTCAGGCAGCTCCCGGGAGGAGGGGCGAGCGCCGCCGAAACCCTGACGCCCCAGAGGATAGCTCTTGCCGGCAGGACAACGTCCCGAAGTCCGGTCCCCGGAAGTAGCCAAAGGTGTGTTTCAGCACTTACGTCCACTATTTGATTTTGCGTTTCTTTTTCAATTACGTCATGAAAAAATAGCAATTAGTCGTCCTATCTACACTTCCAACGTTTTTAAAAGGACGTGGTTCAAACAATTCACAAGCACCTTTCCAGCGAACCGCCAGTCAGCAGAACCGTCAACAAGGTAACAACAATGCAAAAACTGCCGTCACCTTGTTTGCCGTTTCTTTATCATTTGGCAAGAGGTAATGCTCTCAGGCATGACGCCCTTGAAGGAACATATCATGAAGACGGTACGAAACAGCAACGAACTCTAGAGAAAAGGTAAGAGAAGAATGACAAGCGAGAACGCTACCCACTCAAGAACCGAAGTGGGAGACGCAGTATCAAAACTATCTCAAGAGTGCAGCGGCTCTTCCTCTAGTTAACCTTAAACCCACACGCAGCATGTCACCTTTGCTCGCTTTAGCAGTTTACTCTAGCTGCATAATACCCCATCCCTGTTTGTGTCGAAGCGTTTATATAGCGTTTAATAGGTTCCCATAAGACTCATGTATCACTTAAGTTCGGTAAACTAGAAAGACAAAATGTGTTTCCTCACAAAAGCGAAACCGATCGTCCAAGCCCCCAAGGGTTTCTGGAGACCCACACTTCGAGTCTAAGAATGTCTAAGCATGTACATATGGCACTTTTTCACTCACCCAATCGCCTTTATCGCAGGTTGCCAACGCTTCCGTTAGACCGCTACCATGAAGATATGTCCCAGTCATCCCATACATGCACGGCGGCGAAGAAAGAAGTTGTACAGAGCAAAACCGACCCGAGACCAGCGTCTGCCAAGTGCCTACCAGGCATCCCTTTGCCCCGAGGTCCCTCCAGAGCGGGAACGGACCACCTTCGCGGGGAGCTACGTTTGCCACCTCTCATCGATACTGCCAGGGCGTTGTCCTTCCCCGCAAGATCTCTAGTAAGACAACAGCTGAGAGTGCACTGCGACCGCCGAATCTCCGCCGACGAAGACCTGGCCATCGACCAAGTACCGTCTCCAGAGCTGAAGCCCAAGAAGATCACCAGCCGCGCGGTTGAAGTGACTACCAAGTGACGAGCGGTCATTCCTGCTCTTCAATTTGACAAGTTTCGTCCGAAGTGCTGATATTTAAATGCCTCCATGACACCAGGTTTGTATTAGGGAAAGTGCTGACGTGGGTCTGTGTTGTGATAATCCGTGATTCCTGCCCTACATCCGCGATGTGCCTTCTCTGCAGGAGAACAGCCAACGCGTTACCCTAATTAAAATGAAGAGGCAGCTTCATGCACGTTACTCGTCTGATTTACAGATGTATCTTAGCGAGGTGTTCAGTACCCCCTCCCCAGCATTTATTAGCGCTATTTTTAATTCCAAAGTTCCAGATCAGTCAGGAATGTACTGCTTTCAATATACAGCAAGAGCGCAAACTAGTCCTGGAGTTGTTCCAGTGGTATGAAAGAACAATCAAATAAATAACATCAAGATAAGATTATGAGTATGTCGTTTAATATTAAATCTCGTAGTTTGGTGTGCCTGTACCACCATGATTATTTAATATTTTCAAACTAACAGTCTGGATTCTGCAAGTTGCAGATCCCAGTCTACTGCAGTTCCCAGGACTACAGATATATTTAGATGTGTTTACAACACAGCCAGCTCAACGAAGAATCTGCTATTTTTTACCTACTGGGCAAACACAATCTATTTGTCTTTGTTTACTAAAAGCAGTTGCGCCACCAGTGATTATTGCACCAGTGATTATTGCATGACCTCACGTTCCAAAGACTTGTGCTTCTATTTTTAGTGCACACAACCCACGCTCTGTTTAACCTGCAAACGTATCATCGCCTCTCATAAAACAATTTGCGGGGCGATGACACCAAGCGAAAACTTTTCATATCCGTTCTATCACAGCACAAATACAAAAAATTAACCTTTTTTGTTGTTGTTGTTTAATTGAAGCCCTTGCCCGTTCCGACCTTAATGATCATCGTAATATCGTGCTGTCTTATGGTACACACCGGTTTATGCATCTGAACAACCCTAAGTTAGCAGTCGAACAGCGCTGGCTGCATATATAACTCATCTGATGAGCGATTTATAATATACCAGTGTCGCTATACACGGTTACAGGGTTACGAGATAAGTTCCTGTGTGCTGCCATTTTAAGCGATACGGGCGCTGGGGAACGTTTCCGCCATGTCGTTGTCGCGGCCAAGGACGCCCGAGGTAGGGTGTACTAGAACTGGAAGGGGTGCCGACCGCGTCAGCCTCTTCATAGAAGCTGGATGTTGTGCATCCCGATTCTGCCGCAGCGGCCTGGGGTGGCGCTGTCAGTCACAGCGTGAGGCCTGTCAGGCAGCGTTTAGCGAGGCTGGCTTGGGGCCTGTTGGTGCGATTATTTATTCTTGTATTGCGTTGTGTTTCAAGCGATGCAATAATGTATGGCCGCAGCTGCGCCCGAGAAACAAAGGACTCAGAACGATGTAAGAAAACGGCAAAGAAAAAGACGTGGCGGTATTGTTTTGTGCTGGGGTGCATACAAAAAGAAACAGTTACTGTTTCGGACGCCGAGAGACACCTCTCTGTTCGCGAAATGGGATCGCATCATGCATGATTCCAAAAGAAAAAAAAGTGAAAGCCGTTTACCACTCCCTGTAACGCCGAATTGGAGCGCAGCTCTTGAGGAGGAGGAGGGGAGGGTACTGAGGGCCACGTGTTCTCGGGGGGGGGGGGTCACGTGACCCCCCCCCCCGAGGGCACGTGTCCTTGTTGGGGTCACGTGGGGGCAAACACGTGCCCCCTCAGAGGTTACGTGACCTCGGGAGGGGGTCACGTGACCTCGGGGTGTCACGTGACTCCCAAGGTCACGTGACCCCCCGGGTCACGTGACCAAAATTTTTACGCTAGATTTAGCGGGGAAATTTTTTCCGCTAGATTTAGCGGGGAAATTTTTTCCGCTAGATTTAGCGGGGAAATTTTTCCGCTAGATTTAGCGGGGAAATTTTTTCCGCTACCTTTAGCGGGGAAATATTTCCGCTAGATTTAGCGGGGAAATTTACCCATAATGCACCGCGCGGTTACGCCGACGGCGACGCCGATGGCGACGCCAACGGCGACGGCGACGGCGACGCCGCTCAAGCCGGAAACGGGCGCCTAAGAGCTGCGCTCTAAAAAAAAAACTGGTGCAGACAAAAAAAGTGAAAGCCGCTTACAACTCCCTGTAACGCCGAATTAGAGCGCAGCTCTTGAGGAGGAGGAGGGAAGGGCACTGGGGGGGGGGGGGGGTTAAACTAACCAGGGGGGTCACGTGACCCCCAATGCCGATGATGTCATCACTGACGTCATCAGTGACGATGACGATGCGGGTACCGATGACGTCATTAGTGACGTCACTGATGACTTTACCAGCGATGATGACGATGCGAATGTCGGTGACGTCATCAGTGACATCGCTGATGACGTCATCAGTGATGATGACGATGACGATGCGGATGCCGGTGACGACATCAGTGACGTCACTGATGATGTCATCAATGATGATGACGATGACGATGCGGATGTCGGTAATGTCATCAGTGATGATCACGATGACGATGCGGATGCCGGTGACGTCATCAGTGATGATGGCGATGACGATGTGGATGCCGGTGACGTCATCAGTGACGATGACGATGTGGATGCCGGTGACGTCATCAGTGATGATGACGATGTGGATGCCGGTGGCGTCATCAGTGATGATGACGTCATCAGTGATGATGACGATGACGATGTGGATGCCGGTGACGTCATCAGTGACGATGACGTCATCGGGGGGTCACGCGACATCGGCGGGGGTCACGTGACCTCGGGGGGTCACGTGACCTCGAAGAGGGGGTCTCGTGACCTCAGGGGAGTCACGTGACTTCGGGGGGTCACGTGACCTCAGGGGAGTTACGTGACTTCGGGGGGTCACGTGACCTCTGGGGGTCACGTGCCCCCCACGAGGTCACGTGACCCCGGTGGGGGGGCTCGCGCGGTGCATTATGGGACATTTCCCATGATGCACCGCGCGGTTACGCCGACGCCGACGCCGACGGCGACGGCGACGCCAACGGCGACGGCGACGCCGACGGCGACGCCGACGCCGCTCAAGCCGGAAACAGGCCCCTAAGAGCTGCGCTCTAAAAAAGCCGTTTACCACTCCCTGTAACCCCAAATTGGAGCGCAGCTCTTGAGGAGGAGGAGTGAAGGGTACTGAGGGGAATGTAGACCCCTCCTCCTTCTCCTCCTCCTCCCCTAATTCTTTATTATGCTCCGGGAGGGTCACGTGACCTCGGGGGGGGGGGGGGGGGGTGTCACGTGACTTCGGGGAGGGGGGGTCCCGTGACCTCGGGGAGGCGTGACCTGGGGGTCACGTGATTTTGGGGTGTCACGTGGGATCACCTTGGGGTCACGTGACCTTGAGGTGACCTTGAGAGGGGTCACGTGATCTCAGGGGTCACGTGACCTTGGGGAGGGGACCACGTGACCTCGGGGGTCACGTGACCGGAGGGGTTACATGACCTGGGGGTCACGTGACCTTGGGGTGACCTTGGCGGTCACGTGACCTTCAGGGGGTCACGTGGGGGTCACCTTGGGGGTCACGTGACCTTGAGGTGACCTTGGGAGGGGTTACGTGACCTCGGGAGGTCACGTGACCTTGGGGGTCACGTGACCTTGGGATGACCTTGGTAACGGCGACGGCGACGGCGGACGCCGCTCAAGCCGGAAACGGGCGCCTAAGAGCTGCGCCCTAAAAAAGTCTTAGAAAAAAGTGAAAGCCGTTTACAACTCCCTGTAACGCCGAATTGGAGCGCAGCTCTTGAGGAGGAGGAGGGAAGGGTACTGAGGGGAGGGTAGACCCCTCCTCCTCCTTCTCCTCCTCCTCCCCTCATTCTTGAATATGCTCCGGGGGGGTCACCTGACTTCGGGGGGGGGGGTGTCGCGTGACTTCGGGGGAAGGGGGGGGGGTCACATGACCTCGGGGAGGGGGGGGGGGTCACGTGACCTCGGGGGGGGGGGAGAGTGGTCACGTGACCTTGGGTGTCACGTGACCTTGTGGGAGGGGTCACGTGACCTCGCGGTTACGCCGACGGCGACGCCGATGCCGCTCAAGCCGGAAACGGGCGTTTAAGAGCTGCGCTCTAAAATGTGTGACCCGTGTGAGATGTCAAAGAAAACATTTTTGTCCAATTGGGATGTCTTCAATGGAGACAGCATTTGAAGTCGCACCATTTATCTTGCAACTTTTGGTGTTTATTTTTAAACGACGCATAAAATCAATACAGACATCGTCTGAAAATGCAGGATTCAAAAAGAGCTCGCATTTGTTACGCCATGCTACACAAAAATATGCAGTAACACCAGAACAAATACGAGGTATTTAAAGATCTACAAAATATACAGACGCCGAGGAAATATTTAAGTGCTTTGACACTAAAGTGGAGAGGAAAACATCGCATAAAATTCGCTTTCTTAACGCTGGTCTGCAAGGTGAGATTCACAATTATATTTTATAACAGAAACAAACAATTACAGGAGCGAGATTATGTAAGTAACTGACCACTCCGAACGGCATTCGCGTGTTGAATATAAGTTTGTGCCGCTCACCCAATTAAATCACGCTTTTTTACATGGGTGTGAAAGAGGATGGAATTTATTCTTTTTCACAAACGAGCAGACAATAACAAACCGAGAATACGATCATTTTTATGCGAAATAAATCACCTGCTGCGACCTCCAGGCCTCTCTCAGTCGTCGGATGGCCGCGCTCTGCCCCGCAGCGATATCAGCGGCGTGCTTGCACGTCGCGACACTCTCATGACCGCCGGACGGCACACCTCCAGACTTTAGTACCCCCTATCCGAGGGCTGGGTCTCGCAATAGATTGCTGGGCATGCTCATATTATGACAGTAACCAGAAAATAAAGGAAAAACGAAAAGCGCGACACACGAGCTTGGGGTCTAGAGACCATCGGAACATGACCTCGTCTTGTCCTTTATAGGTATTGCCATATTGTGTCAGAAGTGGCTCGGCAGAACAGAGTTTCAAC